TGTACGATGTTTTATTAAGCAGCATCCTTGGCCTCTACCCACAAGATGCCAGCAGCACCCACCACCTAGCATGACAATCAAAGATGTTCCCATGTATTGCCAACCTGGAGGACAAAACTGCCTCTGGTTGAAAAACACTGCTCTAGATCCACTTACTAATTTACAATAAAATACAGAAGGCAGCAGGATATGTTAGACTACCCTATGAGGGTATAATTGGCAAAATTCAGACTGGGAAACAGTTTGGGACAACCAATACAGTTTCTTCAAGAAATAAATTAAAAAAGGGTGGAGAAGAGACAGGAGAATTTGTAGGTTAAAAGAGACATAAAGCACAAAATACATAACCCCCTCCCATCACAATATATGAATCTTCCTTAGAACCTAATTTTTCCCCTTTAAATCTTCTATTTATTTTTAACAAATAAAAATATATATACTTATCATGTACAACATATTATTTTGAAACAGTTATGCAATGTGTATTGATTTGGCCCCTTATTTATTTATTTGGACCCTAATTTAAACAAAATATAAAAAGAAAATCAACTCATAATATTTATGAAAAAACTGAAAATGTAAAGACCTTTTGGTACTTAAGAAATTATTAGTACTAAATTTTTAAGATAGGATCATGGTATTGTAGTTATTTTAATGAGTATTTATCTTTTAGAGAACAATGCTTAGTATTTAGAAAAGGAACTGGATGAAATATAGTTGAAACAAAATTGACTATGAATTATTAATCTTGGAAGATCGATAATAGATATGTAAGGGTTCATTCTAGTACTCTTGCAACTTCTATGTTTGAAATTCTTCATTATTAAAGTTAAAATTGTTATGAAGAATGAAGATATTAAGAGAAATTAATTAAAACCTCACTTTTTAATCAACATTTATAATTATTTCAAATTTATGGAAATTTGAAGCACTGCCCACCTGTATGTCTGTCTCACTAAACTGGCACAGGTAAGATGTGTACAGCACTGCCTTTTTCTTTTTTTTGAGACAGAGTCTCACTTGGTCCACCTTCAGTAGAGTGCCGTGGTGTCTTATCTCATAGCAACCTCAAACTCTTTGGCTCAAGAGATCCTCTTGTCTCAGCCTCCCACGTAGCTGGGACTATAGGCACCTGCCACAACACCTGGCTATTTTTGAGAGACATAAAGCATAAAATACATACCCAACCCCAGGCCCTGCTCTGGCTCAGACTGGTGGCAATCCACCCACCTTGGCCTCCCAAATGCTGGGATTATAGGTATTGAGCCACCGCACCTGGCCCTACAGCACTGTTTTTAAACAAGTACCCGTGCCAATGATAAACAATGCTTTCCTCAAGCTATACATGATAGCCAACTGCCAAATTTTCATAAATACAGAGACAAAAAGCACGTGTATGTGATTCTTGAACGTGCTTATGAAAGTTTCTAAGTAACATGTTTTTAACTCGAACATCATAATTCATTGATACATTTTAGAGCTGTGAACCTCTTGAAATTCAGGTTCAACTTTATGTATTTCTTGGGGTGAAAAGCAAAATTGCTTTCCTCAAAATCTTAAAAGGATTTAAGACACAGAATCAGGCTTTGAGACCTTAGTAGTAGTTCAAAATTTGCACAAACTAAAACTGGAGTCCTCTAATTTATAAAATATGCCAACATTCTGAGGATCCCTATGACAAGCATATTAAACCTACAGGGAGGGCAGAGCAGGAATCAGAAATAGTCTTTACATTTTTGACACTCCTCTATTCTCAATACCACGGATACATTCTGACTTCTCATAGCCTGCTTCCAATATTTAAATATTATTCACCTGAGAGGGAAAGTCAATAGCAAGGTAACAGTACCTTAAACCAGAACAAAATCATTTGCACGATGTCCTAATAACACCTGGTGGATGAAGTGTCCTTATGCCAAGGTTTCAGAGCTGGGTGCTTACCAGAGGAAAGTCTCTGTGCTGCAGGTGCAGGTACCATGACACTAGGCTTCTCAGACTGATAGGTGGTTGCTGCTAATGTGGAACTCTCGGCATCACTGTTAGTCTGGCCTGTCACTCCAAAGCTGGAGCTGGGATAGCAGGCCTGGTACTGATTCTGACCAAGAATAGTATAGGTGGGATAGTCCTGTAGGCCAAAGGAAAGAAGAGAAAAAAATAAGACTCTTATAATACACATTAATTTCAACACCAGAGGCTTTCTCCTTCCTCTTACAATTATTTTCCTAAAACATTAATTTGACTTTTCATTTATGTATCTAATATTAGTAATATCCAAACTAAATCAATGATTTTCAGAAGGTATTCTATGGAAACCTAAGAGTTAAGAGGAAATGCCCCAGAAGCTATGTTTGGGATGAGGGGAAATCTGGGAGGGAAGGATCCCATGTACACTTACATAGGCACACAATGCCCCTTTTTCCACTCTAATAGCTCCATCTTCTAATTTTATGTACTGAATTTTAATATAAATTTCTGCATAGAACTTTTGAGGGAAAGATTCTACTCCTTAAGAAGTTTGCAAACCACTATACTAGATGGTAGTGATTCTAAGAACAGATGAGCTTAAACACATTTCCTAAAGCTTCCTAGTTTAAAAACTGATTACCTCTATATAAAACAAACAGGTTTTCTTTAAAACTAAAGTTTCCTTAGAATACTGGGAGAAAACTTTTGGTATTTCATGGGCATATGCAAGGCAAAACTTATCAAACTATACAATTAAAATTGTGTAGTTAATTGTATGTCAAGGTAACTCTTAATAAAGCTGTAAAAAAAAAAAGTGACACACAGCTCAGACCTGCACCTTTAAAAAACTCCATTGACACTGATACTGGTAACAAATAACAAACAGACTGAACAGACCAATTACTTATAGTCACTGAGCATCTATAATAAACCAAATATAATTCAGAGTGTGTGTGTGCATGCGAAAAGACATTTTTTTTTCTTGAGACAGAGTCTTACTATGTCACCCTTGGTAGAGTGCAGTGGCATCACAACTCATAGCAACCTCCAACTCTTGGGCACAAGCGATTCTCTTGCCTCAGCCTCCCAAGTAGCTGGGACTACAGGTGCCTGCCACAATGCCTGACTATTTTTTGGTTGTAGTTGTCATTGTTGTTTGGCAGGCCCGGGCTGGGTTCAAACCTGCCAGCTCCGGTGTATGTGGCTGATGCCCTAGCCATTGAGCTACAGGCGGCTGAGCAAGGAAGGTGAAAGATTAGAAGAGTAAGTCATACTAACACAACTCAAGAGGGTTAAAAAATCTAACAGGAGAGAAAACAGACAAATTTCCAAGTAACTGGCAATAGGTTATATGTCAAATGAGTGAAATAGAGAAGACGACTATCACTGTAGCTTGTGATAGGGCAGTGAGAGAGCTTTTTGAGTAAGGCAGAGGTAGTAAGAGGTCCTGAAAGGTTTTATTAATGGGCCATAGACATCGAATTTGGTTGAAACAAAGGATCTCTGTAGGCTTGAATAACCAGTTAAGCAGTATGACTTGGATTCTTTAGGCAACAGTGTATAGCTTGTGTATGTGTGTTGTGTGTGTGTGTGTTGGGAGGAGGGAGACAGGAAATGGGGCTTCTCAACAAATAAAAACATGAAAAATTCTGAGCAGGTGATTGACATTTAGAGAAAATTAACTGACAGTTTCTTAAAGAACGAACAAGCATAGGAGGAAAAAATGGAGAGGAGATGAGCAATTAACCATAGTAATTTAGGATTAAAGGGGGAAAAACCCAAAACATGAGAAATGAGAACAAAAATGAAAAGGAAGGGAAAAAGTCAAGAAATAGCTGGATTAGGGAACGGTATGAGACCAGGGAAGATGACTGGTCTGGTTGTAGGCCTAGGTTTATTAAAGAAAAAAAAAAATGACATTAGCTGTGTACAGTGGCCCGTGTCTGTAATCCCAGCACTCTGGGAGGTTGAGACAGGAGGACTACCTGAGGCCAAGAGGTAAGAGACCGGCCTACGCAATGTGGCAATACCTCATCTCTTAAAAAAAAAAAAAAGCTAAAACTAGGATTATATGCCTGTAGTCCTATCTACTTGGGAGGCTAAGGCAGGAGGATTGCTTGAGCCCAGGAGTTCAAGGTTGCAGTGAGTTATGATTGGGCCATTGAACTCCAGCCAGGACAAAAGAGAGAGACCCTGTCTCTTAAAAAAAAGAACAAAAGAAAGAAAGAAAGAAAGAAAAAGAAAACTTAAAAAAAATTAATGTAATTGATAAGAATTGAGAAGTCACAGAAAAGTGGTTTTACTTTGGGAAGACAGGAAAAAAGCTGGAATGAAAGCCCAGTTTTAGACATGCCAAACCTAAGGAACTAGTAAGACATTAAAGAAAAAATATCCAACAATCAGGGCAGCACCTGTGGCTCAAAGGAGTACGGCGTCGGCCCCATATGCCGAAGGTGGTGGGTTCAAACCCAGCCCTAGCCAAAAAAAGAAAACTGGAAAAAAAAAAAATCCAACAATCAGTTGGAAGCCTATAAATGTGAAGTCAGGATTAAAATCTTCATTTTGGTGGTAGCAAATGGACATTGTGAGTGTGGTTAAACATTCCTGTGGATGAAGTAATTAACGTGGAAAAACTAAACAGAGACTGTCCATGTTAGAAGATAGGATCAAAAAGAAGAGCTATGAAAGGAAGAGCCCCTGGAAGAAAGTCAGGCACACAGATAAGAATTCAATAAATATATTGTGGACTAACAGAATCAACAAATGCAAAAATAGTGAAATACAAAAACTGAATTACAACTAATGTAAATTGCAGCCTAAAAAAGATCCATGGAGGTAGTGGTGATACTATGAACTGTTACAGAGCAAACAACAAATTTCAAAAAAACTCTAAAACACTGACAATATTAAGCAGTAATCTTTTAACATGTTAACTGCCATGTGAGTCATATATAACTCACACTAGTTTTGAGCCCAGGACCTTGTCATGCTGTGAAACCTCTGCTCATTGTTTTCTCTGTCAATTGGCATAACTCCCCCATGTCTAGTAGCGCTGCCCTGGCCATCCCAAATGTACCACGTGCTGGACTGTGTTCTCTGATTATTGTAATTCTAACTGTACATTTCACCTTGAATATTTGCCTGGAGGCTCTTTGAATGAAATTGATACAATACTATGTGGGGAGGTGACATTAGAGAGGGAGGGTATGATCAAAAGCTGTCATCTAGGATTAACTTAGATCCACTCCAGAATTATGGAATGACAAAAGACCTAATTCTCAGAAACAAATTAAGTAAGTTGTGAGTCACATACACCTCATGCACAGAAAACAATAAAAAATAACAGGTCTCTTTGCCTCTCTGCCTACTTGCCCTGGTAATGGAGGCCTGTCTGCTGTGTGCAGCAAACATATCTTCCTCTGTAAGCCTGTATCTTGCTCTTACTCTATAAACCTACCCTTCTCTTCCTCAATAAACTTTGTTCCATGCTTGCCTTAAGAAAAAAACAAAGAACAAAAAGTTTTCATTAAATCAGAAAGGATTGTTTCATTTCATAAGTTTTTATTCTATTTTTGTAATAAAACAACATGCTTTTTTTTTTTTTTTTTTTGAGACAGAGCCTCAACCTATCCCCCTGGGTAGAGTGCCATGGCCTCACAGCTCACAGCAACCTCCAACTCCTGGGCTCAAGCGAGTCTCCTGCCTCAGCCTCCCAAGTAGCTGGGACCACAGGCGCCCGCCACAGCGCCGGCCATTTTTTGGTTGCAGCCATCATTGTTCTTTGGCGGGCCCGGGCTGGGGATTCGAACCCGCCACCTTAGGTGTATGTGGCTGGCGCCTTAGCCGATTGAGCCACAGGCGCCGAGCCACAACATGCTCTTAAGGAAAAAAAAATCCTAGTGTGGCAGTAAATGTGTTAAGCATAGTTAATATAACAGATCAAAGTTCAAATATTTATTCATTCCACAAATATTTATCAAGTGCCTTTAATGGAGTGGCAGGCATTTTTCTATGCTCTGGGAATACATAAAGTGAACAAAATAGAAAAGTAACTCTCTACCTTCATGGAGCTTCTTTCCCTCATTCAGGTGGGGGCAGAGCAGGAGGAAGAGACAGAGTACATAAAGGAGCAGATACAAACATATTTTAGAGAGGCTTAGCAGAGGAACAAGAGACACGGGATTGTTGTAAAAACCACTCAGGGTCCTACTTCTGAAGGCATCCAGAAAAAGGTATCCACTGTCCATACCAGGGGTCCTCAAACTTTTTAAACAGGGGTCCAGTTCACTGTCCCTCAGACCATTGGAGGGCCAGACTGCAGGCCCTGGGATGAGTCAGTTGGCTGCTAAGCAGGACAGGCAGCAGCAGCAAAAACAACCGGCAGGCTGGATAAATGTCCTAAGTGGGCTGCATGTGGCCCATGGGCCGTAGTTTGAGGACACCTGGTCCATATTATTCCTGCTTCTTTCTTATATGGGCAAACTGACCTTGGAAATGAAAGGAAGAGCAAGCTAGATAAGCCATATAAACAAGATGAACAAAAGTAGCACCATACCTGGTTTGAAATGCTGGCAACTGCTGCTGCTGGAATATTGGCAATTGTAGATGAAGTGGATATCAGGCTGGCATTTGTGCTTGAAGCTATAGGATTGAGAGTGTTAAAAGATACCAGTTAAAGATATTACACAAAAGGCTAGAAAAAATTGAAAGCATATCTTAAGTGAACATAACTACATTGGCAAACAAAACAAATACTTGTTTTGCTTTTTCGCATGCCATACCTCAATTTAGACTTAGAAACAACACACTTCAAACATGTTTCTGTTTCAACTTGGGTCTTCAACTCCTCCTACTAAAGTCCTAGAAGGATGCATATTCACAGCTCACTGATACCAATGAAAAGAGAACTAACCCCAATCACTCTACTCCATCTTCTCTAGAGGCTAAAAACTACTCACCTGCAATGTGACCTACTATTAATCAGTAGAGCATTGGTAAATCCTATACTGTGACATGTTTACTGTCAATTGCCCCAAATTATGCCTTTTCTGTTACAACATAATTTCTTTTCTTTATTT